ATTAAGCAAAAGTTAAAATGCAGAGGAATATATAGAAAAACATCAGAAATATTCCAAAGAAAATGATTGGTAAGCCATAATGAAATGGAATGGGACCAGTTTGTAGTAGACACTTCTACAACGAATTGATCCCATCACAATGTATTATGGTTTACTAAACATTGCCTGAATGCTATTTTGTACTCATTATCTGAAAAGACAAAGTTTGTAAAACACATTATAAGACATAAGACGCTCCATGAACCAAGGATTCAGGCAACTAAAAAATAAACACTCATTAACCGAAGTAGTAGTAGCTAGCAGCTAGCTCGCTCCAACTTTCACTGCTTTCAGTTTTTTAAGTAACAGACAAAGTAGAATGATATTGCACTCTGACAGCAATTTATAATGTTGATTTCAGTCTTCCAATAAAGCAAGTGCAAAATACTCAACCTTTCGGGGTCCGCTTGGAACTTGGAAAATGCTAGGGAACGAAAATTGGAAGAAAACTATAGAAGAAGTTTGGAAGAAAATAAAATGTTGAGGAAACTAAAACATCGGTTCAAACTCAATAACTTTATGTTTATTATTTGTTCAAATTCACTTTTTAAACTTATTTCTATTATATGTATATGGAGAAATCTAAACATAGCAACAAATAGAAACATTTATCATACTACGTATTTAATTTTCCATTGCTTTTTCAGAGGTATAACCAAGCATAAAAAAAATACTTAGGTGCTCCATTCCTTTCCCTAGCATTTTCTTGGGCCCAATGAGAGAGGCAAACTGATATTTCTTAGAAGCTAATTATAGCATCTAAACTCTCTAATGCACAGCCATAGTGGAAAGTCTAAGAGTATTCACAGTTTCACACACACACATACAATAAAAGGCTAAAAGCATGATTTCCAGTATATCATTATTTTCCTGAACCGGAATTTCAGTAATACAATTGGTTTAATTTAAACCATTAAATCAGACCACTCCGAAACTGAGCAAACAATCAACTTTTGTTTCCATCATCATCAACATATGTAGCACCTTTGTCTAAAAATTAGTAAAAGCTATAAATTCATGTAAAAAAAAGCACAGCGGCAAAGTTTTAGATGAAATTGCCTTCGTGTCGCAATCTTCTGTAGAATGAATGATAAGATGAAAATAAAAAACCAGTGATCATCCCAAGTGTTTTCAACTTGCATGGGATATATCATGACACAATGATAATTTAAAATGGCTATGGTCATGTAGCATTGTAAAATTGATATTGTAAAACCAACATGCACATCCAGCAACATGGTCCATAACTTATATTTCTATGAAGCTCTAAAATATATACAACATAAAGAGGATTCAAAATTTATTTCCCTGCCCTTCACAAATTTAATGGGGCATGGATTCATAACCAAATTCCACCTAAGACTAGGAAATATTAGGTATTAACTACTATATGAAGCTCTAAAATATATACAATATAAAGAGGATTTAAAATTTATTTCCCTGCCCTTCACAAATTTAATGGGGCATGGATTCATAACCAAACTCCACCTAAGACCAGGAAATATTAGGCATTAACTACTGCAACTAAAAAAACACTGCAATAAAAGTGTCTAGAGAAAGCAGTCTCCAGGAGAGTAAAAGTGTCTGCTTATCTGAATGCCTAAATTAATACTGAGTAATAAAAACCATAATAACAATAATGAAAATAATTATTATCAGCTCATGCCTTAAGCATATTTGCGCATTAGAAGCTGCTGAAAATCCCACCTCTGAAACCGGGCTATGAGATGGATCGCACAAATGGGGAGGCAGGGAATCCGAAACCACAGAATCCGGGCCAGACCGCCCAGGCTGCTTCTTCTTTTTCCTCCTCTTTTCCAAGTCCTCATAAACTTTCGGCGACGGCACTTCGTTCATCTCCCACAGAGTGGCAGCTAGCTTTCTCGCCGAGACTGGCCGAGAAGTTCCCAGCTGAGGAGAAGAAGAAGGGGGGTCGCCGGCAGTCCTCTGAAGCGGCGACGTTTTCCAGGACGGCACCGGAGTGCTGGATCTGGACCCGCCCAATCCGTGTCGGACCTTCCCCACGACAATTGCCCGCTTCAATCTGTAGTGCTGAACTCTCGAAGACGCAGACGAAGATGATGAGCAGCCCCTTTTACGGACTTTGGGGACCAAACCCTCTATGCCCACCCCTCTTCTCTGGCGACGCATTTCAGCTCGCGCAATCCGTACGGGTACCCGAATGTACACCCAAAACCTCAATCTTTTTTTTTTATGATTTCGTGATGGGCTTTTCAAAGGTTGTGAATCAACCGAGTTTCTGCATTCAGGGTATTTAGAGAAATGTACTTTTCATTTCTGGGGAAGATGAAGGATAAAGATTTGATTAATCTTGAAGGATTTGGTACAGAAGAGATAATCTGATGTTTCTGTGTGAAATGAAGTTATTCAAGATTTTAGAGCTTCATGACATATTGGTTTACAGAAATAGATAAGAATCTTTTTCAGTCTCTTTTGATTCGCAGTGAGGTGTGGGAATGGATGAAGAAAAAGGAAAGGGAAGGATTGGGATTTTGAGATTAAAGAATAAGAGCACATTAATAAAGAGAAAGATGCTAAGCAAATACGGAGTATTTGACAGCTGAGAGTACACTACCCCAATCCCAGTAGTCGCGGGGATAAGAGGAAAAATGAAGAGTTCAATGGGCTACGTAAAGTGCGCCGGATGAAGTCATGAACCAAATAACATTGGCAAAGCGCTGACAAATGAATGCTATGTTTGGGAGAAGGGTGATTAAGGATGTTTTTACTTGGTACATAATTTGTTGGTCTGGTTTTGTCTGATATGGTCTGATCTGGTCTGTTAAGATCTGATTTCTTTGTATTTTTATAACTATCTAAGTCTGAGACAAATTACAGTCCATGTAAAAACATCCTAAGGCAAATTAATGTCCTCAGCAGCCCCATGACCCCATCCAGCTTCCTTAATTATCAAATTTATTACTACCAAGTACCAATTTTCGGGCAAATAAGTATCAAATTATCAAATTTTGGTTGACATTTTAGGATGGAACCCCGGGTCTTAACCAAAAGCAATGGTGCATGATTGATTGGCTTGAAAAATTAAATTACATGCAAACTAATAAAACAACTTGGTTTCTTCTTAATTAAAAACGAAGGGAACAAGGATTGATTACGGAGTAATCAAATTTCTGGCAGATCAGGCTTAGTTATATGAAATTAATTTAATTGAGCTTAGCTAATCATTACTAAAGTTTTTACCGCTCTCGCGGCGTAGAGTACAATAATTTAGGGGATCAGGCAGATCTCTCATGCGACAAGATCATGAATTATTGCCAAGACGGGCGAGCTTGCGGCCCCTTAATTGCTACTAATCTCTTAGCGAGCGATTAAGTGTGTTTGAAGGTGGCTTAGAATAAACTAGATCTTTTTTAATTTATTCTACAAACAAATGTAATTCTAGCTACGGTTCTAGGTCACAAAAGATATCAATTAAATTATTCAAACACAAATTAAACGCTGTTCATGCAATTAATCCATCAAGAAACTAACCATACATCATGATTAACTCCTTCATCAATCCCAAATCCCTAATTAAAACTACTCACAACTCATAATTGAAAAATCAATAGAATTGGGAAAGAAAGAATTAATTGTCATTAATTAAACGATAGAACTTACAAAGAATCTCAAAATATTGATGAACAAGACTGAAAAGATCTCTAAGTTTTGTGCTAGACACTCTCTCTAAGCTCTGTAACCTCAAAATAGGGGTTTGAGGCCTTATTTATAGAAAACAGGGAAATTCGTGTCAAATTGGGAATTTCTGGGGCAGACACGGCCCTAGGCACAGTGTGCCTAGCCTCAGTGCCCGTGGAAGAGTCGCGTCTCGGGGTTAAGCACGGCGTGCCTCCCTGATAGGCACGACCGTGCTTGAGTGTTAGTTGCTCCAGCTTGTTTCCTTCCGCGGGCACAGCGTGCCTTCTTCCCTTCCGAATTTGAGGATGCTTTCTTCATGCAAATTGTAGAGAATGAATTTTTCTATCCACCACAACTTACAAAACTGGATTTGAATCATCCAATCAAAAGATATGAATAAAATGTTGGAAGGTCTAATTCTTAAATCTCAACAACAATTATCAGATCCCTTCGTCTGTTTTCACCTTGCTCTTCTCAGATTCTCGCAATGTTGTTCTCATATGATTTGTAACCATTGAAGTTGGCTGTCATATGGTACTTGAATCGTGTACATTGGACGTTTTTATATAAAGATATGCTTGAACGATTGACATAACGTCATCCTGATCGCCGTTTTCAAGCTCTGTTCGTCTTTTTTGATCCCGTAGTCAATCCTAGAGATATTTTATCATCAAATCTTCATCGTGAACCTCCTCCCGGTGACCTCCAAAACACTCAAATCTCTCTCGAATTCATATTGACTCGTCCCGATTTCTTCTCCAGTGCCGGTGCCCGGGCTCAAATTCCCTGATTTTGACTCCAAAAATACCAAACTCGAACCAACATCCGGTATAATATTAGGACTTATGACACCTTAAAGCTAGGAAAACCTTCAAAAGACGATCTCAACACGCATCAAATGCGTGTTAAAATAGGGATTTATCACTCGCCCAAAAATTCCGTTTTTTCTTCCTATAATTTTTTAGGGTAACCTTGTGATGAATATGGAACTTACTTAGTTTTCTCTTAGTGTTGCACAGAGAATATTAATGTCAATAAAAACCCTTCGATTCATAGGAATGTTGGAGCCTTATATTCTTGAGGAGTCTGAGCGGCTAATTCCCGAGTTTCATTAACGTTATCTTGTCTTGCCGAAGTTCTGTTTTTCTCTCCCGCTATCCCCCAAGAAGAAGAAGGAGGAGAAGGAGGTCACCAGTCTTTCAAAAGGTTGGATTGTTCATGAATAACCAAAAGGTTGGATTATTATAAGAAGACCGCTAAAAGGTTGGATTATTAGTTTCCATTTTCACTAAAGTTTAATCGTTTTTTATTTATTACGGTGGGTGCCACATATAGAAAAGCCCAGCCCAGCCCAGGTATTACGTTGATGTCCATAATACCGAAGCAAAACCCTACTCGTGCTGTTTTATTTGCGCAAGCCCTATTCGTGCTTTATCTGCCCCTCTCTTCCTTCTTCAACCTTCACGGCAGAACTCTCTCAAGCACCGCCACAATGGGTCGCGTCCGCACCAAGACCGTGAAGAAATCCTCCCGCCAAGTGATCGAGCGCTACTACTCGCGCTTGACCCTCGACTTCCACACCAACAAGAAGGTTCTGCAGGAGGTCGCCGTCATCCCGACGAAGCGTCTCAGGAACAAGATCGCCGGATTCTCTACCCATCTCATGAAGCGGATCCAGAAGGGACCTGTCAGGGGCATCTCGCTGAAGCTCCAGGAGGAGGAGAGGGAGCGCCGCATGGACTTCGTCCCCGAGGAGTCCGCCATCAACACCGAACGCATTGAGGTCGACAAGGAGACAATTGAATTGCTGACTTCGCTGGGCATGGCTGAGCTCCCAGGAGTCGTAGTCAAGGAAGAGGAATCCGGCGCGATGGCCGTACCTGGATTCGCCGGCGGGCGTGGTGGATTCGCCGGTGGTCGTGGTGGATTCGGCGGCGGTGGCCGGTACTGAAAGGCTCATGTTCTTCTTTTTCCCTAAATATATCAATCAGTTCAGTTTAGGCAACGCTTCTCCAATGTTTTGAGTTATGGTACTGCTGGAAAGATGAATACTTTCTTATGTTTTGAATGTTTGTTTTTTTTAAAACTTCTTCCTGGTTTATCATTATCGCATAATTTGAGATCTTATCATTTTCCTATAGTTCTTGCATGTCTCTTGCTCAACCAAAAGTGGGTTTTATTGATTTAGATTGCGCAATTTTTTTAGTTTGCCGAATGATGTTGTCGAAACCAAATATTCTTGTTGAAGGATGTAGCTGTGGACAACTTTGGAACAAGAAACTTTCAGTTAGATAAGCAAAAGATTAGGCCCATATGATCCATATTTCTGAATAAGGAAAAGAAGTCTTTTTTGAGATTGCTATATAGATATTTCTATGTTTTTGTTAATGGAAAAAGGTTTTCGTTCTTGTAAGAGGTAATTCTAAATTCAATAATTTTTGGAGACTTATCAAGCACATAAAATAATTATTGCTTAGAAAATTGGAAGAAGTCTATTAGCTTTCTCTTAAATTTATTTTGGAATACCAGCAATATCAACTCCAATGGTTTTGAAGGCATTTTTTCCTGTTTGACATCTGTTATGCTGTAGTGACAAATATGAGACCCTTAAGTTTCTCCTAGGCCTGCCCTACTCCCCCTTCCCATCCATGAATTACAACTGCACATACTAATGGGGCACATATATCATTTCAATTGTGAGAAATAATACAGAACAAAATAATCACCCTGGTACAATCCTCAAATAAACATGATGTATTGTACTCACTTAATTTTGCAATGCAGTTATCGTTTCAATAATGTGGCATGGATCTAACATTGAACCTGATTGAATTACGTATAAAGCCAACCCAAGTATAATTAAAATTCTTTTTTTTGTGTTCTGTTTTTTGCTTTTGTTTTTGTTTCAGTATGGTCAATGCAAAGACTTCTGCATGATAGTTAATGTATTTGTTGATGTAATTGTTTAATAAACATCTTGTGTACTGTTATGAGTTGTCAATCACTCACTATTAACCATTTTTGATAAGCTAGGGTTTAGCTTAAAGGTATTCCGAATATCATAAGCTAGGATTTCGCTTAAAGGTATTCTGAATTTTTATTACTGTTATGCTTAAAGCTACACACTATGGAAGATTTTTTTTTCTAGATCCAGTGCGTTCTATTATTTTCGAGATGGGCTCATTTTCGTTTAACTATGATGTTTGATCTTTTGCTACCATTTTAAGGGTATAACCAAAGGGATTTGAAACCACATTGTTGTGTACTGAGTTCATTGTGGCTTTTATGAGAGTGAGGTGTGTTTCACTAATTCATTGTTTTTTAGTTCATCATTGATTGTTCACTTGTTCAGCTTATGTATTATGCACCTGCTTATGGGGTTTCTTTCCCAGTGACCCAGTGTCATGCTTGAAACAATCATGTTAAGTTGCTTTTTTGGACGAAAATATATTTTTCGTTATTGTTGATCTTTTGCAACTGTGCTCCGCTGATTTGACAATGTTAAACTGCTGTTTTTTTGCTCTTGTTCGTCGATACTTTTGCTCATTTTTGCAGTGCGTTTTCTGCCATTGGGCATTGACCCTCGCGCAATGCGCGTGCCAATGCTAGTTCACAATATATATACCATAGATAATGTACTCTCTACAATCTAATTTATTCCAGTTAGGCACAATTAACGTTTGATGCAGTGATTCTATGCTGATTTTATTTGATTTCACTCCATGGCAAACTAAATTAGTAAATTTACAGAAATTGAAATGAAGATATTTTGTCATTCTTTCCTACTTATTGAAGACAAAAGGACAGTAAATGAGTCAATTTGGTAAATGTTCTACAGGGGCTTGAATCATATAGGTCCGTTTAGTTTGATTAATTAGGTGAAATTGCTGTATTTGTCTTCCTCTAAGATTTTGGGAAATGTGTTTGAAGAACCTGCATTTTCTTAAAATAGCTGTGAAAAGTTCACATTCTTCTATAAGTAGATTCAGTTTAAACTGAAAGAAGCTTCAAAACAGCACCTATGGTACTAGGATATACTAGTACAACACAAGAGCTAATGTTACATTGTTAAGAACTGGAACTGGTTGGTTTAGTCCTATTCTGGATGAACCCTGCTGGTTAGAAATTTAGTACTATTCCCAACTCTTTCTGGACTAGGAATTCAGTTAGGATAAGTAAAATAACCAGACTATCCTCATTTGCATTAACTTTTGAACTGGTGTGGGTGCCTACCCCTATCCCCCCACCAATAAGTTAGAACTGAGTTCTTAAGTGTGCATTGTGATTTTCCCCTGGAAGCTCGATTAGAGCACAAGATAGGGGTGATCCATAGGGGTGATCCGGCGATACTGCGATAGGCATATCAGCATATGTGTGTCATGCTCCATTCAATCAAATCTAAATATGAGTTGTTGAATTCCATGTATTTGTTCAATTGGTGTGGTTTTTCGCTTTACCTGTGAAAATTATAAACACATCTATAACTAAACTGACTTCTTTTTTTGCACGTTCTTGACATGATACACGTTTGTAATAAGCATTGCATGCTTATTTGTACTGATCATGGTACTTGTGTACTTTGAAGGAAAACCGGGCTTCAGAATAGTCTGGATAGCTTGATTTATAGTTAAAAAAAACCCTAAAAAGTGTGCACTGCACCAACTGTAACCTTCTGTTTTTTGCTGTCATTTTTTTAAAAACAGCCAACATCAGGTCAACAAGGTGAATTTTTAGTTTCTAAGCTTAATTTTCAGTTTTCTAATATGAACATTGGCTCATAGTACAACCTACATCATAAAACAAATTTTTTAAAATCTTGTAACTCAGAACTAGTGATACGCGAAGAGTAGCTATTTTTGTATGATTCTATTGACTTAGTGACAGCATTTAGATATTCAACACCAAGTCACCAACATACACGTTTGTTATAAGTTACATTAATGCCAGGAATTAGGGCAGATCAATCGCTTGAATTTGCAAGGCCAACCATATTAAGCATATTTTTGTCCTCTTTGAATCTCTCAAGAACGGAACCTTTGATGCGATCATGATGTGCTTCTTCTTGAGCTTTCTTGATTTGGACTTCCCAGCATTCAATCGTTTCTGGATATATGATGTTGCATCCCGACAAGCTAGGGCTTCCAAACGTGGTGCAGGGGAAAGTATGGCCTTGATCAAAATTGGCTGATATGAACAAACCAAAATGATTCACTCTACCACCAAACCCTATTCCATTGGGAATGCTTTCTGAACTAAAATTCACAGCACACTGCCAAACAGAAGTTTCTATAATCAGATCAAATTGCCTTTTGAGCGTTATTTCTACCAACCTAAGCTACGAACAGGAAAACAAAAGAATGAAGAGCTTTATGGGGAATGTCCAGCTTAGCTCACCCACTGTATATTGTAGTTTGCTCCTGTGGGGCGATAAATTGATGCTTTTGGGTAAAGCTGGAAGATGAATGACTTCATATCTCCATAAAATTCACCATGTCTCTCCCATGGTTGAGAAGCATAACCCCCATATGTATTGCCATTCTTGTCTTTTATGATTAATACGGCAGGACATTTGTCATTTCTGCAATTCACTATAAAAGTAAATTAGAAACTGAAAGCCTCTTTGGTAACGTTGATGAAATCCTAGTTGAATTGGCTGAATCTATTGAATTGTGAAAAAAATATTTAAAATATATTTATAAATTATATGAAAAGGTATGTGTTTGGTATAGAAGCTGGCTGATCAGTTGAAAACAAAAGTTACCAAATGGGCTCTTAAAGAGGCAGTTCTTGAACAAAATGGTTCCAAGAATAAAAAACATTGTTGTCCTGTGTTCCTTTAAAATGTGAGAAATATAGAGAAACGTGAAAAACAAGTGTTTTGAGAATTTCAGTTCATGTAGCGTTTATGAAGATAAATACACTCTTCAAAAGTTTATGTGCTTCACAATGGCCGTCTAATAGGGCATGTAAGAAATGCTATAGTACTAAACCTCTTGATCCTAAAAGACCTCAAATTTTGAAATTGTAGTCCATATATTATACAAACACTTCTTTTTAAATGATCCCATTTTAGACTTCCATTTTGAAATATGTGAACACTATGTGTGATATGTGCACAAATTTTACTACATAAGGGCTAAATTTTATGATTAGCATGGGGCCTCCTAGAAGTTAAAGACGACCTTGATCACAAAGTAGTCTCATTTGGCCAAGTAAATGCACAACCAAGGAGAGTCAGAGAGAATATGCATTATTGGAGGAAATGAAAAAATACAAGAGACTTACGCCATATTTCCCAAGAAGGTGTTGAAGCTCAAGCCATGGACTGCACTGTGATAAAGAAGCTTCCATTCACGGAGCTCCTCTTGTGGGAGGGCACCTCCAATTAACCATGCGTATTCCTTCCTTAACAGTATCATATCAGAACGAATATTGTCCTGGTGAACTAATCTAGGAACGTCAGAACCTACACAAGAAAGATAACAGATTCAACTCAAAATAAAAAAATACTCAACAAAATAATAAACGATCAATTTCTTTAATATTATTTGTATTAACTAACTACTCATTAAACAAAAATGTGAATTTCTGGATGAAAACGTTACCAGCACAGTCAATTGACAATAACAGATTATCAACGCAGTGACTGTTGCTAATTGCATTGGTAAAATCTTTGTCATAAAATTAAATTTAAACAGTTTTGTCCGGCAAAGTATATACGAAGTGCAAAAATTAGACAGGGAGGGCCTGGAAAATTGAGCACCCAATGTTGAAAATACACAGGGTACCGCATAGGCATATACCAATACAAAAATAAAAAGAAAATCAGATTGCACAGAAAAGTTACCAACTTTACACACAAAAATCACAATGCCAACAAGCACCTATCCAGACTAAAGATCTTTCTAGTATATCCGACCTAGATCATACATCATGATAAAACCGAGCGTAGAAGAATGTCAATATTTTGGATGGCTAAAATTAATAAATCAAGCACCTGAGTCAGATGGCTTCAGCAAACTTCCTAGGAACTTCCTGACAGATGGGAGCAGTTCACACCACTTCCTAAAATCCCCATAAGATATACAACTTGCAGCTGGATTTTGAGTATCTATTGTGAAATTTGCAGCACTGAGTAATATGTCAATAATATCTGAATTTGAACCCGGTCCTCCTTCAGAGCATTTATGAGAAAATATATTATCAAGCATTGCATTTAATACAGCTTCAAGATCGGACCTGCAAATCATCCCCGGGGTAAAATAATCGGTTACAAGACATTCCTCTATTACTTTCACTTCACAAGTTATGCAACTGCATCTGTCTGACTAATATCAGCATAGTATAGTAAGTATATTCAATATGGAAATAGTAAATATATACCCCCCTGTGATATTCCCAAATTCACACCTAGAAAATATATCTTAGATAATTTTGAGCAAGGAGGTGTAGAAGTTGTATAATGGATAAACAACTAGGAGTATATTGATATAGTGGATGATAATTAGATTACATATGTGGTTTATGTCAGAGAGAAAAGTCTATCCAATAGGAAAGTGAACCGCAATGTAATTAGGAGAAAGAATAACAATTTGATCAGGAAAAGTGAAATTTCAAAATACACAATATTTCAAATAATAATATTTCCTAATAAAAGGATTCATTTCCAATTCTAAATTTCTAATCGAAGAGAGGTAGGAAGATATTAAGACTTCTACCTTTCAACAGTTCCGTCACCAGATACATCTAACAGTTGATAGACAAACTCTTCCATCTCATCTTTTGTTCCCTTTTCATAAGTTGCCTGCCATAAAACCAGAAAGTGTGGAAAGATTTGACTTCACTCCAATCAGTACTTATGATAGCTAATTAGCTATGAACTAAACTACAGACTTGGTTGAATGGTCTGCGCCCAAAATTAGTAACTGAACAGCAGCACAGTAGTTTATTTCATGGAATTCGAAATCAGAGCTTGAGATAAAATGGAAATCTGACCGGTAACTGAATTAAAATGGAAATTCAATGAGTTTATTACTTCATTACCAGGTAAATTCCTCTAAAATGTGATTTCAGGCTAAATGTGAATGCTGGGGATTCCCATCCAGTAAAGAATATCTACCACTTTTTCCCTTCCAAAAGCTTTACTTCTAGTTTTGAAAAGTTACATTCCTAACCCCACTGAAGAGTGCCGACAATACCCCCTTTTTATTTTAGTTTTTGCTGCAGTGAGTTAAAAGTTGTACACAAAACATTCATGGCACGCACTTTGGTGCCTTGCATTGTTTGAGGTGTGGTGAGATTGTTGAGGTGGCCAGCTTCTCATCTCACTTTTTTATTGAAGTTTGATACCTCCCGTGAGGTGAGTTTTCTTTTATTTATATAAATAAATAAAATGTTGTTGAGTAGGAGTATGAAAGAGAAAATAAAAGTAGATAAAGTAAGAGTAGTTGAGTATTTTATAAAGGGTAAACTTACCAAAAATGGAATTGTAGGGAACTTTTAAATACAGTCTAAAAAGGAAAGTGTAGGGAACTTTTAAATACGGAGGGAGTATCATTTATTTTTAAGATGTACTCTTAAGTACTTTACTAAATGCTTTTCAAAATTGTTTTATTATTTTTAAAACATTTAACCATACTGTCACAATTAGTGAATCACATGATTATCAAACTTATAGTTGTGTTTTCACCCTCACAGGTCTAGTTAATTTTTTTTCTTCATATTTGACTTTTCAATGCAGCCCTCCAAACTCAGGTTAAAACAAAGAGCCCTAAATTTGAGACCTTTCAAGTTTTGACTATGTCTGAGGTCTCTAGCTACTAAGCCAGCCTCTCAAGAGGTCAATACTATTTCCTCATAACATAGCCAGTAATTTGGTATGTAAAGTTTAGAGTAATGAATCTAAATCATGGTTTTATGAAAAATACAGCAATAACAAATGAAAAAGTAGCTAACACTTACTTTAGCAATAACAAGATCTTCAAAGGTAAGCTTTTGATCTTTGCGGTTCTGAGTGACCAAGTCGAATAATCTATCCCCCAACTTCCCTTCAATCCCAATGTGCACCTATGTATACAACAAAGTCATTCATAAATTCTTCTTCATTGAGGACATTTATCAAGCCTTTCAAACATTGAAATGAAAAAAAAGATATAGAGAGGGGGGAAGAGACCTTGAAAACAGAAGGGGAGATGTATTGCGCATTTGATTCTGATTTCTCGGAGAGGGAAAGGAACAAAAAGTTCAGGTCTTCAAGTTCCTTCTCGGTGAACGCTCTGTGTATCATAAACGCGTAAAATATGTATGGAATAGATACAGCGAATCAATGTAATAGATGGAGATGGAGAAAGGTAAACCTTTTAGCGGAAGCGAAACGGGGATCGGTAGAATACGACTGCGAATTACCCATCTCTCACTGAGAAGTTTTCTTTGCTTGTTCAGGTCAGGACTGGAAGAAAATTACGAAACGCTATAAATATGAACATCAGTAAATGCCAAGTACCATGATGGTATCACAGTTATCTCCTAAGGAAGAGGTTACAAAAAAAAGGAAAAATTCACATAAATAATCTCAACTATTAAAGATTTTTCAATATTAATCCCAATATGTGTAATTCTAAAATAATCCGAAATTCATATGTAATCTTCTCATATTGATCCAGCATAACCTACTACTTATTAAACAGGTAAACAAATTAAAAAATAAAAGAAAAAGAAAGGAAAGTAAACGCAAGATGACTGTGCGGACACCTTTCCCATCTGTCTTCTCTTCTGTTTGAGTTTATTCCACTCGGATGGAATTGATCGGGCAGTACACTAATGAGGAAGAAGAGATGTTGGAATGGTTTGAGCTGTAGCCATGGGTTTCCATATCCAAATTTACTCTAGCAATGGATTATCCTCCGCATCCTCTGTTATTTTTCTTCTTCTTTTTGTTTATGCTCTCCCTCCACCGCAGATGACTATCTCTTTTACACCTTCAATTTCATTTTGTTTTGTTTAATTAGGTTTTCGGCCATCTCAAATGTGAACTTCTTTCTTTCAATTTCAGAAGTGGACAAGTTATTTTGGTCAATTCAAAAACTAACTTGACATAGATTGAATGACAATCAACCAATGGTTCATGGAGATCAGACCATCTGGGGTGAAATGGTAAATAGACGGACTGACGGCGACACTGGGACGGACGGAGGGCTGGCATCAAAGAACAAGAAATTGGAGAGGAGGAGCTGACCAGGCGAAAGAAGAAAGGGGAGAGGTGAGGGAGAAAGACGAGCTGATCTGATGTCGGAAGGAAGGAGCTGTGGTCCTATAGAGTAAAGAAATAAAAAAAAACTAAAACAAAAAGATTAAAATGTAGAAACCCAATAGGAATAGGACACGTGTGATAGGGTGACCGGATAACCTGATTCATTCAGGTTGGGGTTTATTTTGAGAAGATACCCTATATAGATTGGATTAAATTGGAATTACTCATATGTGGGATTAATATTAGAAGAACCCCAATAAGTTAGATTAATGGTGTGAATTTTCCCTACAAAAAAATGAACATCAGTAAATACCAAGTATAAACATACCAACCCAGCTAGTGGTGGGGTTACAAGTGCATTTTTAGGGACATTTTATTTACTACGTATTTTTTTCAAATTTATGAGTGTCTTTCCAAAATATTTGCATTGCTCCAAAAGGTTGAATCCACAACCCCAAGGACTCCCACTAGGGTGGTAAACGAATCAAATAATTTGTGCACGATTCGCGATTCGAATTCATATAAGACGGTTCAAATTCGGAAAATTCAAGTACAAATACAAATAAGAATATTAAATTTGATTCGAGTTGTTATTAAATACAAATAAGAATATCAGTGTATTTGATTCGAATATTAATCAAATATATTCGATTAATAAAAATGGTAATATTCGATCAAAAAATGGTAATATTAATATCAATATTAATAATAATAGTAATAACACTATAATAACTTTTAAAAGATAGCAATGCCCTGGAAGTGTAGCTTATATATACATTTTTGCATACAAATTCCAAGCCCGTTTGTAATAAACTTGAATATAAATACGAATACAAATCAATTTTTTGGTTCAAATGCCTTTCAAATACAATACAAACAATTATATATTCGATTTGAAGAATAAAGTTAAGAGTTGTTTGACTGTGGTATATACAATTAGCAACTTATTTCACACATTATAATATAATCTCTAATATGTGTGTGTTAGTGTTTATTTCAAAAAGTTTGAAATGCAGGGCCGTCTTTTAGGAGGTGCAATAGGTGTTTCGCACCGGGGTCTACTATTGTAGAGGGCCTCCAAAAATTTAAAATGTACCTTCGTCGCACTATGTTTGGGACAAGAGAGTGTGGCACAACATATGAGAAAAAATGGAATTGTGTGGTTAATATTGAATTGATAAACTATGAATAAAGTAAGAATGAATTGTAACCATCCAAATATTACCAAATATGGTATGTGACAAACTTAATGGGACCGACGAAAAAGGTAAAACGAGACAAACTTAGGAGGGCGGAGGGAGTAGTATTAGTTATAGATTAAATTTTCTAGATTTTTTATATTATTAAGGATTCCAAAATACATACTCCTTCCGTTCCTTAAAACTTTGTCATCTTTCCATTTTGGGACGTTCCAAAAAACTTTGCCACTTTCCCTTTTAATCAATATTTTGAAGTTACTGTTATTTCTATCTCCTCTACACAAACATCAACCACACAGTTTTTACTTGACAAACTTTTAAGGGACAGAGGTAGTATAACTTTTAGATTCTCTAATTTGTGAACTTTAAACATCATAAAACTTATATTTCGTTGGAGTGTAGTCTATTTGTATTTCATTGTAAAAATTTGTGTTATTTTCTCGTCTTAGGTCCTTAGGGGGCCTCAATTTGCTATTTCGAACCGGGGCCTCCAAATTCAATAGACGGCCCTGTTGAAATGGATTTATATTTATTAATCATCAAATTAATTATCTTTGGTATATTGTGCACCATCTAAAAATCATTGATCCATTAAATTTAAATCCTAAAAATACATATTAAGTCATAACATGCATTTACAACATAAACAATATTGAGTATAAGAAAAATTATTTTAAAGTGATATTTGACTAATATTTAACATATGCTCAAACCGATTCGATATTCGTATATGATTCGTTAACTATTCATATTGTTAAACAAATACAAATACAAATCGAAATTAATATTCATTTCATATTTGAATTCGAATTCGTATTCGAAAAAATTAAACAAATACAAATACAAAATCTCATTATTTGACTCGATTCGATTTGTTTACAACCATACCCCCCACGCCCCGACCCGACAGAGCACATGGGAGGATGTAAGTCACGGTGACTCAGTCAGCAAAGTCACAATAGACCCATGCATACACCCGTGCGCACCAGACGCCTAGCCTTGTTTCAGATCATGTGACCTCCACCAGAGTTCCGACGTTATTTCAGGCCCATACAACCTTATTTCATGGTCACATTAGGTGTCGTGTGTGTTTAAGAGACATAAATATATGTCTGCTAGCTTTTGTACTATTTTAAAAGCCTCATAAAGTTTCTAGTTGTATACTTATATGTTTGGCATGACAATTTTTAAGAGTTTTTCAAAAAATAAAACATCTTTTTAGATGTTACAGGAGGTAGAATCTGAAAAAAGTCTGTGACATTTAGCATTAATTAGTTCTAACAGTTTGTATACCAAACAAAACTAAATCAAATAGTCAGTTTTTTACCAAACAGTTATCACCTTTTCTTTGAAATATCTTTTCAGTCACTAAAAGTTAACAATTACTAAAAAGCTCGTAAAAATATCTTTTCAGCTAATTGTGCCAAGCATGCCCTATGACTATTATCCAACTCAACTTTTTTTTGAGTTATTCAAGTTCGAGTTCGGTTTCAAATATAATGAATCGAGCATAATGGGGGTTCAAACTCAAACACGATTTGAATTTTGGATTTGAATACTTAATTTAAACCGAACTCGAGCATAGTAGTGTTTGGTTCGGTTCAAGCCTATCGAACATTTTAAAATTATAGGAATAAGTTATAGGAATAAATTATATACTACGTATATCTTACCATTTAATCATATTTAGTGCAATTTTATAAATTTAATTATGACGGTTAAAGATTCGCGCACTTGTCTAATAGTTCGAGCACAAATTTATTAACAAGCATAGCCTAAATTTTTAGGTTGAAACATGTTTATTGAGCTCGCTTATTGAACACTCGAATCGAATCAAACTTGAGCTCCATTAGTACAGTAGTCGAGCTTCGAGTTCGAGCCTGAACACCAGTATTACCTTAACCAACGGAGCTCGAGCTCTGCATGTTCGGGCTCGGCTCGTTAATAGCCCTATATCACACACACCAGACTCGTTCTTAAATACTTGCAACATTTTAAATTTTATATTATTCACATGTTCTACACTACAAAAAATATGATTTTTAACAACCAATATATAACGACGACTCTGAAAATTCGTCGTTAAAAGTATCTTTTAACATCCAGTAATTAGTTCGTCGTTATTAATTTTGTGTTTAATAACCATTTATGAAAAGTCGTCATCATTAGTCAATAAGCCATCGTCGTTATTAGTGATTAATTTGCTTTGTAAATACGGAGTATAATTTTTAAAACAATTCACGAAAAAATTTAATCAAAAATATTATATACGGCGCTAAAATTTCAATTTTCAACCCAAATATTGGATTCCCTCCTAAACGAGTATACATAATTGCGTGCTTATATAGGAAAAAAGGAAAGAAAATAAACCTCCTATCAACCGGTAATTATTTGCCCTAAGCTCCGTCCTCTAAATTCAATCTTGGCCCTCAGAGATTCTCAGAGTCGCCGCAGTGGAATTTCCCTCTGCATATGGCTGTCATACGAGTACATCTTCTTCCCGGCGCTGGAACCCCATTTGTTAATGTAGAAGAGGCCGTCGATGGCTCTGTCGATTTAAAAGGCCAACCGCCTTTAGATCCAGAATAGGGTGGTGGAGATTGCATCCTTCATCATTTTCGTTGAAGTGGTGGAGCGATTTACCTACTATGCGATAAGTTCGAACTTGATAAGGTATTTAATTGGACCTCTTGGCCAATCAACCCCGACAACATCAGCTAATGTGAACGCCTGGTCTAGAACTGCGTCTCTCTTGCCGCTCTTTGGTGCCTTCATTGCCGACTCATCTCTTGGTCGGTACCGGACAAGTGTCACCTCCTCCCTGCTATATACTCTGGGTTGTGCTTCTTTACTATATCTGCTACCCTTTCTTTTTAGTCTATTGACTTTCAAGAAGCTACAAAGTCTGCTGCCTACTCTCCTCATATGTTCGAGACTATCTTCTTCTTTTCGCTACATTTGGTGGCATTAGCACAACGTGGCTCTCGCTTAATCGTTCTGCTTGTCCCATAACCATTCTCGTTTGAATGGTTAAGTTTCCTCTAGCTCAATCGGTCTACCACCAGGGTTTAATATTCTTGTTCGACTTTAAAAGTGCTCAGAGGAATTGTTTGCAATTGTTTTTAAACACATCTTTGTTCATAGTTTTCTAAAATATTTTAGATTGGTGAAAGTTTTATTTATTACGTTATATCAAATCTTTGCATACATGGGAAGTACGAACATTTTGGGCATGCGTCTTACAAGGAATATTTCCATTATTTCATTCCTTATTTGTAATTATTCACCTCCCTCATATAGCATTAGCTCATCATGTATATATTGGAATGATTCCCTCTGTAATACTCACGACATATACAAAAGCAATATACAGTTCAATTCTCATTCACCAACCTTAGTTTTATCATGGTATCAAAGCCGAAATCCTGGAATTCTTTACACTTAAATTGATTTTTATCACAAATCATGGCTATTGGCGATGAAGCCGGCAGTGGCGGTAACACGCCGATCATAGACTGCATGTCGCCGTACTACATCCAGTCTGGCGACAAGCCGGGAGATGTGTTCGTGACCTCACTTTTACGAGATGGAAATTATGGCGATTGGCTCGATGAAATGAGCAACGCCCTATACGCTAAAAACCAAATTGGTTTCGTCAATGGGTATTTGCCGATGCCGGAGGCAAAATCTCCACTTTTACCATATTGGCAGCGGGCCAACGCGATGGTTAAAGCGTGGCTCAACAGTAGCATGGAACTTGAATTACGAGTTACGACAAAGCGTCAAATTCAAGACGGCACGCGAGATATGGACGGATCTTGAAGAACGGTTCGGCAAGGAGAGTGCTCCGCGAGCCTATGAACTAAGATGTTCACTTGGAGCTGTTCAACAAGATGGGCAATCCGTCTCGGCTTATTACAGTCGGCTTCGGCACATTTGGGATGAAATGGCGTCAATTTTGAAGGATCCAACTTGCTCTTGTGGAAAGTGTTCTTGTGATATCACTAAAAAACTCAATGAGGCACGTGATCGGGATCGTTTATACGATTTTTTAATGGGTTTGGATGAGTATTATGGGACACTCAAATCCCATATTCTTGCCACCCGACCTATCCCGTCTCTGAC